GGGGTCCAAGACGAGGAGGGCAGGGAATGTGTTGTATTTTTGTTGATTGTTTCTTTTCTTTTGATCACACCCTCCCAGAACAACAAGGTTTGATTTTAGAGAATTTGATCAATTAATTGTGTCAGAACGGTAACTTTCGTCCCTCGATGGAGGACACCAAATCAGTTCGACTGAATTAGATTGGCAGTCTGCACTGGGCTTTACAATCCCTGTGCCCACAGCAGATAATTTCGAGAAAATTTAAAATTGAGCCCGCTTGATCCATTTTGAGAGTGGAACCGACAGATCGTTTGCCTTCGTATTCCATTACATTTATTTTCACTCAATAACCAATTTAAAGAAAATAGCGAGTCTTGTAAAAGTTGCTCTGTATACGCATCGTGTTAATGCAGCGTAGGAATGGGTTCCGAAATTTGAATAGGGCACTTAAAGGGGGGAAAAAGAATTAAACAAACATCTATTTCTCTTAAAATGTACAAAAATAATCAATACACTCTCTAATGAACCCCGTGTGATCCATCATTTAAACATATTCAAGAAAAGTGCACAATAGAATGATATATTAAATCAGCCAGGCTGCCATGTCATGTACTTATGGACGGCGATTCAGCATGACGCTTTCCTGCCGATTCTCGTCTCGCTTTTGCTCAGTCAAGGAAAGTTTCCAAACTTCGGTGCTTTCATCGACGCATATCGGTCCTGATACTGTATACGTATTCTCATAGAAAAATTGATGAGCTTTTCATCCATATATTTTTACTTTGAATATTTTAAAACGTCGTTTCAAAAGGCCTTTTACAGTTTTTTATCAAGATTTTTATGCACTTTGAGTTAAAATCAAATCAGTAAAAGTACACTGAAAGAAGCTTTAATTTAAATACTTTTAAATGGACTTAACCACATTATAATCGATTCAGTACGACCGAACACTGACGTTTTCAAAACGCATGTGTCGTGGAGATCTCACGATTTTGCGTCCGAAAAACACTGAAAAGCCGATTTGGTGCCCAATTTGAACCCCAATAATTCATACCTATTTCTTATCTGTTCGTCTTTCCGATGTTTTCACATTAAAGGATAAGGAAACAAATTATAGATGTGTGAAATTTTTAAAGTTTACTGGAACAGTAAGTGAGATACAAGCGAGTAGATTCTCGTAATTTTTGACACTATCACCCACCGAGCAGAGAAGTCCAAATGGGGAATCAGGCTTACTTTGCTCACCCCTTTAGCTGAAGCAGCACAAATTCTGCTTCTACTTTCAAAGGCCCCCCGGAAATAGCACTTCATAAGAGAGTAGCAAACAGACAAAGGAAGTAGAGGAAACATTATGATAGTAAAGATGAGAGAAGAAAAAGCAGCAGTTCCCCCTATGTTGTTCCAGCGCAGTCTGAGCGTTTCAATATAGTCCATTTACTAATCAACTGTACATTAGCACATGTTAATATACCCCCTCTGGGACTGGCGTAAGACAATTTCAGTCAGTAGCACTGCCCTGGTGGGGGGAGTGTGTGGTGTATGTGTATGTGTGTACGTATTATGTGCGCGCGTGTGTGGTGTATGCCTGTGTGTGTGTGAGTGTGTGAGTGTGTGTGTGTGAGTGTGTGTGTGTGTGTGTGCGCGCACGTGTGTGTGTGTGTGTGAGTGTGTGTGTGTGTGTGCGCGCACGTGCGTGTGTGTGTGTGTGTGTATGTGTGTGTGTGTGTGTGTGTGTGTGTGTTTGTGAGTGTGTGTGTGTTAGAATTATATGGTCTCAAAATGTGCATTTTCTGTACTTTGAATTGTCAGTTAATGGATAATTCTGCATTGTACAGCGCCTGGAAACTTCTTGAGATTAGTATTATTGCTGGTGTCGTTAATATTACATTTCAAATCTGACTCTGCTTTCTTCTTGATTGGCTGGATACTGCCAGTGGTTGGAGGGCGCCACCGGTAGCTCCTTAACTTTTCTCCCCCTTTGTTGTTTGTGTCGGTCTGTCTTGATTTCTCCATGTACTACATGACCGTTATTGCGCCAAATTGTTTCTCTTTATCTAAACAAACAAACAAACAAACAAACAAATGAACAAACAAGCTAACAAAGAAACAAACTCATTAATTATACAACCGCTATTATGTCGATGTACTTCTCTGTACTTAAAAAAAATAATCCAAACAAATCAACTATACGACTGCTGTGGTATGGATGTGCTTCCTTTTACCAAGACAAACAAACAAACCAACAATTCGAAGCAAAAAAAAATAATGTCAATGTGTTTCTTTGTACACAAACTGAGCTAAAAGAAACGGATACTGAACCCAAAGAAGATGGACCGACTTTGGTGGTGTAGCCGCTAGGAGCGTTGCTGTCGCAAGCAGAAGACCCGAGTTCGATTCCCGTGTCAGGCGCGTTTTTATCGACCATCTCGGTTTTCTAATGGAACATTGCATGCACCTCTCTCAGCCAGGGTTGGTCTTAGCAGACAGGTGGAAGCCCGCTTGTAAGCTTTTAGTTTAGTTTTAGTGAGAGATTTTTACGGCTCTTGCAATACAATAAATAGATCATATAAGTGCCGAAGATCAGAGGTTTATAAACAAACACTCTACGAAGAAAGGAAGAAAGCAATATAAGAAAATGCTATATTTAAATAGGAAAAAAGGAAGGCGTAAACCTCACCTGAGCACCTCCCAACCAACCACTCAAGTCACCTCAATAATTTAAACTGTGTCACCGAAGGTGTAAAAAAGTCACCAACACGAAAAGCAACAATTTGACATTATAGCTGAGACGTCATGACACCTACGTCATCAGCCACTCACCTGCCCAGGCGGCAGTCATGAAACACGATAAACATCCTGCCAACCACGACATCAGGATTATGTTGGCCAAGACCTTCAGAACAAACAACAACAAAAAAAAACGCCATTAAGGAACAAAAGTACGAAATCCCATTTTTTGTTAATGGAATGTCGTACAGCGTGAACAAAACAAGCCCCCCCC